TGTCTCATGGAGTGACCTAGCTGTTCTCCCAACAGCTAAGTCTGGCTGGAATGGGACTGGAATGGGACCCAGGGCCTCGAGCATGCTTGGCAAGCACCTCCTACGGAGCCACACCTCCAGCTCCCCAGCAATGATCTACGCCAATACAGGGTCCTGGGTGTGCATCCAGAATCTGGAGAATCACCATTCAATCCACTTCTAAGTGAATTTCCTTGCACAAGAATTGCAGAGCTTGGAGCAAAGAGAAAGTAAAGCCAGTAAATGTCCAGGGTGGTGGAGAGGATCTGACGTAAACTGGCCATAGACAGATTCAGACGAGGAAAGTCCGAGTCAAGTGGGTCAAGGAGAGCAAAAGCATCTTATTCCTTTTGGACCAGACAGTGGTAAGTGTCGTATGTAATCATTTGTAGCAGAAAACAAGATGGCCCCTCTGTGAGTCCCGCCCTTCCCTGATACGAGTTAAGAGTGTGTTTTCACAATCCCCTCAATAGTGGGCATCACTCAGAGGCTGCTGAAGATGACCAGTTCCTAACAATGAGACGGCACCTGGCTAATAACCAGCCGCCACACACGCTCCTTCTCCAGACTCAGGCGCTCACCGCCATTCTAACTGAATGGCACCTCTAGGAACTGTCAGAAGACTCCTAGCATGTTTGCCCAAATTCAAGAGCACTCCTTGTTTCCAAATACCTTCTCTCCTCTCTGTTCCTAGATGACCCTCCTTCGTGGGTAAGGAAATGGAGGTCAGTAATGCCTCAAGTTATCTCTTTCTCTGTAGCTCAACATGTTTATTTTTGCCCCTTTTCTCTTTCAAAATTGAAGTGCTTCCAAATGTTCACAGGAGCTTTATTTTTAGTGATCCCCTTGAAAAAAGAAAAACAGCCCAAAGTACCCATGTACAGGTAAACAGAAGAACAAACTGTGGCATGTCCATGCAGTGAAATAGTACTCAGCAAAGAAAAGGACTGAGCTACTGAGGCATACCACAATACAGAGTGACCTAAAACTAACCATGCCGAGGAAAAGAAAAGAGACATCCAGTCTGGATTTTATGGATACAAAATTCTAGAGACTGTAACCTAAGCTATAGGGAAAGAACCAATCAGTTGATCATCAGGGAACAAGGAGAGGATAACAAATAGGCAACAGAAAGCTTGGGTGGTGATGGACAGACACTGCCATTTTCTTGAGAGCAGTACTAGTTCCACACACACCTACCTGTGTAAAGACTTACCAAACTGCACACTTCAAAAACATACAGTTCTTAGTACATCAGGGATAGGTTACTAAGGCTGCAGAAATTGCTTCTTCTCTCCTGGACTGTCAACTCTATCTGAATATCCTTGGTCCTATTCTTTCTGATTCTCTTGACCACATTTTGTCACTTTGTCTCCTGCAATATTATTCCCTAGTTTCTGCTTCCTGTCCCCTTGAGTCCCCTCTACAAGGATCTCCTCCTTAGCATAAATTAGTGAAGCTAAGGCGACTCTCCGACATATTGCTTTCTCTGATTCTTGGCTACCATCTTCCTTTTCCTCATCACTCCAAAGGTATGTGACAGACAGGACTCACCCACTCGAAGTCACTCCTCGACTCCTGGACCCCTGTGTCCTCCCCACTGCCCTAGCACAGCTGTGCTCTGTCCTCAGTGATGTTTGCACCTCCAGTTTCAATGACGTCCCCTCAGGTCACGCCCTCCAGGCTTCCGTGGCTCGACCCTCCCCTGGTTTAGTTCCCAATCTGACCACCCGTTTAGGTGTCCTTCAAACGCCATTGCCAATGAGTTCTCCAATATCATATCCTTGTCCTTCTTTTCATTCCTTACTCTTGAGGAAACTAGCAATCAAAACCCTTCCATGCACATGACCCCCTACACCCCTTTATGTCTGACCAGCCCTGTGCACTCAGCACCTCCAGGGAACTATATTCTACGGGCACCTGGCCAGGGGCTCTGGTGCAGAGCCCCTTCTGCCATGCATCTGGTATGCAGCTTGGTGGCCCCAGAGCTGATACAGCCAATTTCAGCCTCCACCACTGGGCAAACACAACACTCCAGAAGGCAGTGAGTCCCAGGGGTTACGGGGGACAAAGCCAAGAGCCTCTCACTGTGCTGTTGAAGGTGACAGGAGCCTGACCTTGGAGAGGCCGAGCACCGGAAGGAAGGGAGCACAAGGAAGTAGAGCCAGACACGGTCCTGCTGAGACTGGACGCATGTTTGCCAAGAGCCAAGCTGAGTCCACAGTCAGCCCTCCTCCCGGACCTTCTGCTCTGTGACCCAGTACATTTCCTGCCGAGTTTCCTGTTACTTGTGATGGTAAGACGAGGAGATGCTCCTCCAGCCAGGATTCTGAGGCAGATCCCTCAGAAGGAGCTTCTCCTACCACGATAATGCACCGACACCCTGGAAACAGACGCTCTAGKACCCAGCCCAGGGTGATGTCTAACAGAACACATCTCCTCCGTTCTCCAGGGAGACACGCATCTCAAGGGCAGGGGGCTTATCTGAGCTCTTGCTACAGTGTCTGCACCACTATGGACCACCAACATGGTTTTGAAATTCAATGGTGTTGAACGGTAAAGTGCTCTTTGGGCGGGGAAAGGAGGGTGGGCATCTCAACTTGGTGGTTGGATGAAGATTTCCATTAAGCTAGGATCCTTACTTTAGGTCACATTTTAGAACTCTCTGGTTTAAGCTCTTTCCATTGGCTTTCCATTGCTCCCAACATGGAATTCCAACTGCTATTGGCCCCTTGGCCTGGTGGATGCATCACTCCCTGCCAACTGTGCGTCACATCTCTGACTATGCCTTACTCCCCTGCATCCCAGACCTTCCTGCCTCAGCCTGTACACACCGGCGTCATGCAGTTCTCTGAACCAAGCTCTTTGCAACTTCAGGACCTCTGGCTTGGTATTCTTTCTGCCTGGAGAGTTTTGTCTTCTTGTCATAAATACCATCTCCTTGCAGAAATGTTCCCACAGTTCCCGAGGCTGGAAGTTCCGTCCTTTTCTACCTTCCCGCGGTACCCTCTTTTCTGTAAGCGTGTGCAGCGTGGTTTGTGGAGCTAGAGCTACCAGGTCGTAGAGCTCTTTGGCATGCGCTCACTCTCTGCCTCGGACTAAGTTACAGGAGGGAAGGGGCATGTCTAGGTGGTTCAACCACAGCACCTAAATGTGAGGTCGTGGCCCTACTATGTGCTCAATCAATGTTCATGAATGAGAGAATGGATTCATGAATCAGTATTTCACAGTAATTCGCTTAATAAATAATGTCTAACTGGACCTTCTTTTTATTCAAAAAAACAACCTTCCCAGGCACCGCTACCATTTATTATCATAAAATAACTAACACAATAAACAATGACCCCATCACCACCACCCAGCTGTCCACACAAGAAACACCTGCTAAACCAACAAACCCACTTAATGAACCCAACCCTCAGGTATGGCCACTAAACACAAAAACATAACTGCAGCTCAGTTCCCCAGAGCCCAAGGTGGAAACAACCCAAATGTCCACCAATAGATGGACATGTAACCAAAATGAGGTCCTTCCACACCATGGAGTATCGATATGAACGAACGTTGGTGACACCATGTTAAGTGGAAGAAGCCAGACAGAAAAGGGCAGACACTGCGGACTCCAATGTCTTTGAACTGTTCAGAAAAGGCAATATATACAGATAGGCAGCAGAGGTGGCTGTCATAGGCTGCAGGGACGGAGGACTGGGTGTGTCTACTAAATGGGTGTGAGGTTTCCTTTTGGGGAGTTGAAAATGTTCTTGAACTAGATGGTGGTGACGGCCATGCTCTACTGTGAATGTACTAAACGCCACTGATCTGTGTACAGTAAAATGGTAAATTGCATATCACATGTATTTATCACAACCAAGAAAGGGGAGCAGGCAACAGCAAGTTGCAGAACATACACTATTTTGCGTTTCTCCAAAAGTAGGACCCAATGAACAAAATGCTAAGCACCAAAGTTCGCCCTAGGTATCTTCTACTCCAAGAAACCTACGGGTGCTCCCAGCCCACAAACTTCTTCCCACGCTCTGGTTTCCCAGAGGCAGAGGGGGTGGGGAGAAGGGCCTTGTGCTGCCAGTGCCCTGGACTGGATGCGTGGTGTGCCAGCTTCTAGAGAAGCCTGCAGGGCGAGGCTTCCTCCCCAGGTTTGGAGGGATGCATGGTCCTTGCAGGTGGTTCAGGAACAAACGCACACTGATTCTGATAGGAAAACGCCTATTGAGAGCTGTGTTGGACGGCTGGCCTGTTAACACTGGTTTTCCTGTAGGGTGGTCATAAAGGGTGTCCTTTCCATGTTTGTGACCCATTTAATCCTTCTATGGACCATCACGTCTACTCTTTTTGGGAAATCAATCATGCAACCACCAATATTAAAATTCCACACTTCTCGGGAGCCAAGACCCTCTGGCCCTGCCCTGGTCCAGTCCCCACCTCTGCCTTTCCTGTGTCCCAGCTACAGGAGTCCTGAAGCCGGGCACACCCACAACGTGGGCCACACTCTGGTGCATTCCGCTAAGTCTCAGAAGGCTATGGTGGGAACCCGCACCAGATTTGTTTCCAGAGTGATGGAAACATTCCAAAAGCAGATTTCGGAGAAGGGTGGGCAACTCAGTCACTGTAGGGCACACCATTTTAAAATCCGGGAAATGTATGGTGGATGGATCATCTCTCTGTCGAACCATTTTCAGTCTATTCCATGGGGATGATATTTTGGAAAAGGCAAAAGTGCAGAACAAAAGAGATGGATGTTTCTTTTACAAACCAGTGTGCGTAATGCAAAATGTGTCGATTTAAACAAATAACAGGAAAGGATGCGCCCGGCCCAGGCGAACTTCGGGGCGTTGGTACCGCAAGGCCACTCGGCGCCACTTGGCTGGCCTGCACCCCTGGCTGGCCGGGTGCACCTGGGCTGCGGCTGGCACGGCCTGGCACGCGCCGGGTGCAGCGCCCCCCGCCCCAGCGTGGAGCCCACTTACTGTGGCGGTGCCGGACACGGTCTGCGCGCTGGTGTCCGCGGCGCTCTGCTCCGAGTGCGACTGGGCGGGAGGGTACAGGTTTAACGTGTGCTCGGGGACGGTGGTCTGGCCCGTGTACTCTGGCGCGGGGTGGGGGTGGGGGGCCGTGTATTCCGCGGGGATGCCGTTCTGCGGAGGAGCAAACTGGGCCGAAGCGTAAGGCTGGGCCATCGTGTCAGGGGCAGCTGCTGCTTCCTGATTACCCTGCAAAATCAAAAAGGGGGAGAGAGGGAGAGAGAGCGTGAGTGGGCTCCGAAGAGGACCTTGACCCTCCGCCCCAGGCCTCCAGCTCCCTGCGGCCCCAGCGCCCCCACCGCAGGCACCGCTCATGCGCGTCCGAGACTGCAACCCCCAGAATCCCCATTTCACAGATGCAGAAATAGAGGCGCAGACCCTCAAGCACCCTTCCCCCTGTCATCCAGCCTGAGACTGCAGACTGCAGCAGGTCTGTGTCCTACTGGATTGGGGCTTTTTTTTTTTTTTTTCCTGTGCAGATCCTCGTTTTGGAAGTCGTGAGCATGTAGTTGTCTACAGTGACAGCGCAGCCTTGATTTGATACTTAAAGTGCCAAGAGAGATTAAATTGAACGAGTGTGTTCTTGAGAGGAGAGACAATTCATCTAAGCATTTGAATTTAATCAAAGTTTTATGTGACTTGGCTCACATCATGGGATGGGGGAGGGTCCTCTTAATGGTCCCAGTGTGTGCCTGGTGTGTGTGTGTGTGTGTGTGTGTGTGTGTGTGTGTGTGATGTGTGTGGAGAATTCAGGTCCTAATTTAGGCAAAGATGTCCCCTGTGATATCAAAGCTTTTCTGCAAAATGTTGGACTTAACTCTTCTTAGCCCCATTAGTCAATCAATGCCTTTCCCCCAACCCTGGTCTTATTTTTTATAAGCACAGAATATTATATAACAATTTGCCCTTCAGTTATAGCCTAAACATGCAGTATGATAATTACAGTCAAGTCAAAAGAATTAAAAAAAAAAAAAAGCCTGAATTCAAATGTTTCCATTTCAGGAAACATCTTTCTCCCTCCGCCTCCACCCCTAACTCTACCACCCTTCACACACACACACACACACACACTCACACTGAAGGCATAAGAAATCATAACCTAGAGGTCCAAATTTTCCATGGTCTCAAGAGATGTGATTGCACAGTCAGAAAGAAAGAAAAAAATATAAAAAGCTTAGCAATTAAGCACACCGAATAGCGGCCTCTCCTATTGTCTGTGGTCAATTAGCTGTGGCTTTCGCCCTCTCGCCTCCCGTAATGATAGGAGGGCACATGGCCTCAGTACCCTCCAGGAACATTCTAGAGCACATTCCACTGAAGTAGCTGGAGCACAGCAGATATGCAGTGCTGGGGGAGGGTGCTCCCAGAAGAACACACAGATTTGTTGAGAGAGGACCCTTAATTAGAATGTTAAAGCTGACACTTGGAAGAGAACTGAGCTTGGGAGAAGTTTAAAACCTTTTACAAGTGAGAACATTCCCGCCAGGCTCCTTCCTCCTCCAGACTCGTTTTTCCAAATGTCTGTGCCACTGGAAGTGCAAGCGTGCATGTGTCTCATCCAACACTTTCTGTGGCATCTGCGGCAGTAGAGGGTCTGCCTGGGCTGAGGCTGGGCTGCTGGGTGCCCACAGGACCCCGTCTCTCCTGGGAAAACTCAGAGCACGCCTATTGTCCCTGTCCTGGGGTTCTTTAGAAACAGCCCAGTTTCTGTTTGGGGAACATTCCCACTCAGCCCTGTTGCCAGGTAGGCACAGCCAGCCCTGTTGCCAGGTAGGCACAGCCGTGTGACAGCAGGCTGGCCAGATCAGAAGGTTATGTAGCCACGGGCATGGGGATTTCAGTTCACACCCATCTATTTAGGGACCTCACTACTGAGGTCAGCCCAGTTCACTCTGCATTCTGCTGCAGACTCTGGAAAGAAGTTTTATTGTCACTGTGATTGGCGGCTGTAAACATACCCAAGTCTGCAGCTGCCAAGAACTGACACTTGAAAAGGACCTGCATACAGGCAGGTGGGACCACACACACAGGCAGGTGGGAACAAGAGGATCAACGGAGTTCTTGAAACATCATTCGAAGTCTAGCATCTAGCCGTACCTGCATTAGTAACACCCTTGTTTGTTTCAGTTACATGAGGAAATGTACTATTTTCCAACAGCTTTATTGAGATATCATTAACATAAAAATGGTACATATTTAAGATATATAACTTGTTGTTTTGAGATATATGTAATATATATTTATACACATATATACATACGCTGTGAAAAGATCACCACGTTCCAGTCAGTTAACTTAGCTATCACCTCCACACAGTTACCATTTGCCTGTGTGTGTGTGTGCGTGGTGAGAAGATTTAATTTAAGTCGTACCCTCTTAGCACATTTCAAGTATTAAAAAACACAGCACTTGGAACGCTCATCCCCACGCTGTGTATGAGCACTGCAGAACTTGTGCATCTTGCATAACTGAAATGTTGTACCCTTTGCCTTATTTTCTCTAAGCCAGTTTTTCTGTTACAACTCAAAGGGTCTTGACTCCAAAAGAGAGAGAGAGAAAAAAAGAAATCCTTGGCTGTTTCATAACTAGAGTCTTCTTCTTTCCCTGGGCTAGTCAAGGAACGTGTTCCTGTATGTGGAAATCTCACGACAATGTCACTTCTCCACGCCCGACTGGAAGCCCCCCAAATGTCCCCACCTTGGGAAGCTTCCAGAGGGAATTCACCCTGTTACAGTCAGCTTCCATCCAGGTGCGTCTCGACTTCTGCCATCTTCCACCTGCTCCATCTCTGAATGGAAAGGCAGACTTGGGGAAGCTCCAGGTGTGACCACCTAGCAGAGCACAAATGATACCTAAGCCAGGACACAGGCTGCAGGCCCACAGAGGCCAGGGGGCTCCCTGCTTCTCCAGAGAAAAGACCCCCACTAGGAAGACAACCCTGCAGAGAAGCCTCAGGAAGCTGGAGCTGTCCCTTAGCACCTGCAGGGCAAAGGTTCTTCTGGGACCAGAGCTCCCTCCTCCAGCGAGCCTGCCTTGACACCTAGCCCAGCTCCATGCTCCATCACACGTGTGGCCACGTCTCACGTGACCCCAGAACCACTGCTGCCTCTTCCGGTGCCTGTGAGCTCCCTGAGCACAGGTGGCTGGACCACGTCCACTCTGCTGTCTCTAAGCTCCCGCAGCAGAGCAGAGCTGTGGTCCCATTTCCCATGGTCTGCTCGGTGAATGTGGGCTTGAAGCCTCATGCACGGCAGGAGGCAGGGCGGGAGGAGCAGAGAGGACTCAGCAAAGGACTCGGGGGCCCCATCTAGTCCACCTCGTGGTTTTGTCAATGAAGTTTTATCAGGACACAGCCCTGCTCATCTCTTTCCCTACTGACTCTGGCCACTTTTGTGCTACGATGGCAATGTTTAATAATTGCGACGGAAACTACACATCCCACAGAGACTGTGCATCGGGGCCTGTGCATAAACAGCTCCTAATGGCCATGTCAGAATGCCGTCAGACATGGGGCACTGCTAGGAGCCCATCATTGCAAAAACAGTACAAAGTAAGAAGCCAGCCCACAGGAGCAAGAGGCAGGAGGGGGTACTTGTACTCTACCTGAACCAAGGGCAGGTGATGATGTCAGCTGGCCTTGGAGAAGGGTGGTGTGGAGGAGGGAACAAAAGGAGGGGTCAGAATCATTTCTGAAATTTGCTTTCCATCACCAGATGTCACCATCACCTTCCTGTAACCACACATGCATGTGTGCACACATGTGCATACACACCTGCACGCGAGTGGTCTCTCTCTCTCACGCACACCCAGAGGCTGCCAACGCAGCACAAGTGGGCTCCTACGGAGAAGGTCCATCTTGGCCTCAGGCTTCTGTGCTCCGTCTGAAAGGCAGCCCCACCTCCTGTCTGGGGCTCACTAGACAAGCTGGATGACAGTGTCCTTTACCTCAGGCCTGGTGCATGCCAGACACCCTGCCACTTACTTCACATCAGTAGCTCTTGAACCAGCTTACCAGGGGATAGGAGGCAGTGACTAGAGGCATTCTTTGTGGTCACCACTGGGGGAGGAAGTGCTCCGGGTATGTAGTGAGTGAGATCAAGGACGGTGCTGGACACCCTGCAGTAGTACACAGGACTGCCCCTGCCTCAAAGACTTCTGTGGACCCCGTGGCTTACCAGTGCCGAGGTCTGCATCTCTAATCCCACTTCACTTTACAGTTAAAGGTGCTCCAGCACAGTCTTGGGAAATAACTGTGCAACGTCAGCGCCACAGGTCCTTCCTAGGAAAACCAGGCGTTGAGCCAAGCCCATCTTCACCCAGTGCCCAGGGCTCTCTCATTGGGCAAGGGAATCACCCAGCAGGGAGGTTGGTCCTCCTCTTCAACATGCAAACCCCTCCGTCTCACGCACATCAGGGGCCCAAGATCTGTCTTCCACCCCCTGTTGTGGGGATGCCAGGCACTGGGGTATTTGATGCTAAGATGCCAGCAAATCTCTCGGCCAGGTAAGGAAGGTGATCCTCGGCAAGTGGTGGGACAGCAACTTGGGAAACCTCTGCACCAGGTCTCCAAGCTGAGGCCTGGCTTCAGATTCTCCAAACTGTCCCAGGATGAGTTAGGGCCAGTAGAGGCCAGCTGGAGAAGGTCCATCCTGGCCTCAGGCTTCTGTGCTCCAGAGCAAACCGCGCCCTTCTGGCCAACCCAGGGCACCAGCTCTTAGGACCACGTCCAGAGGGGCCTCCAGTTAGCATCCAGGTACATGAGGCTCGAGGTTCCTCCTGTACCTGGAGTTCCCCAGCAGATGTTGGGGGGACCCCCTGCCGTTACTTATTAACACCGACAGCCGTTCCAGAGAGACCCTAATTAATATTCCCAACATTTGCACTTTAGGCTAATTACAGCTAATATTTAATTAAGATCATTGTACTTCCTGTGGAATTACTTTCCACCTTCAAATGACTTCGAAGATGTCTTTGTTCCCTCCCAAGTGATGTTCCTAGATTCTCGGCTTGGCTGAGATGCATGTTCTGGAAAAATACATGAACACTAAGGGCATCTTTTCCACTCCAGGTCACGGCTCAGACTGGGCTGGTTAATGGGTCCCGTGGAAAGCCCATGCCAACTCCAGTAGGTGACGGTGACCGGCCAAATGATGGGAGCCCGGCGGCTAGACATTCCCTCATTCCCAGAA